CCCACTTTTTTTTTTTTTTGAAATTTTCTATCTACCTGGAACAACAGCAAATTAATTGGGGAAATGAGAAGATTGTTATAAAAATACTGGGAAATCTGTCTTTTTTTAGAATAAGCATTCAGATCAGATATGAACAGTGAACATAACAAGATTGTTAAAAATCTCTTCCTTTCAAATATTAATTCCTGAAATAAAATTTGTACATTATACTTCTGAATGGGAAATAATGTAATTTTAAGAACAGCTGAGATTCAAAGCTGATTGTCAGATGATTAACAGGGACTCTTGAACCCCATTTGAATTTTCCTGGTTTTTTTTTTTCCAGGCCTTTATTCATAGGCATATTTTTTTTAGAGAACACAATGGCCAATGTCTATTGTTAAGTAAACACGACTGAGTCTTCTAACATGCTGTTAGGGTCATGTGGTTTGGAATGTGGACACAAGAGCCAATTGTTCTTGAGTTTTGCAACCTAATTTTATACAGGAGAAACAAATTTAAAAATGGACGCTAAGACTAGTCTAGAAGGGTTAGGGGAGAGGTCAGAATATTCCAGTAGGGCTGCCCTCCAAGAGAAGCCAAGAGCAGCCACCTGTTCATCCCTCCCCTCCTCTACTCTTGTGTACATGTGAGCCTCCAGTCTTGCTTGGATTGAGCTAGAATCACCTCCTCGTACACCTGCTGCTGCCTCTTGACTGCTCTGAGCACCTGGTCTCAGCAAGAGTCCAGAAGCAGTTGTCAGGGTGGAAACCACCCAAATGTGTCGCCTGCAGGGGATCACCCAAAGTTTCCACACCCGAAGATGACTTGGGCTGCATACATCTCAGAGTCATAGTGAGCTCGGGACTGAGATGAGCCTGCAGATTTCTATTTGTGGCTTTACTGTCCACTAAGATCAAATTAATAGCATGAACTGGTCACTGGTGGCCACTGTTCCATCAACAGAAGTCCCTCCAAACCATCTTCCATTGAGTACATATTAAGCACCCAATAAGCTGTCGTAGTTTAAGAAAGGATAAACAACAAAACCCCTTAATGAATGCTGACTAAACATTCATTAAAAGGTATATAGGATTTGCTTTCTGAGCAGAGCTGTGTGAGGCCCCTAATAATTGGAAAATGGCAATAATAGAGACAAAATGATGATACCAGCAATATTTGCATAGCATCAGAGAATTTACAAGCCAGTCTCACAAAGTTTTGTAAGTAATACTGTGCCATCATTTTACAATGAGAAACCAAGCTCCTGATAGTGTTGAGCTGGTAAATGTTTAATAACTAACTCTCTGGGAGGAAAAATATTAAGCCCCGAGTTCAAAGCAATGACAGGTGCCGAGTCACCCAGACATGTGACTCCCCAGTCTCCCTGCCATCTTTTTGTACCAAAGGTCAATGCAGTAACTGGTCATCTGAAAGTCTTTCTTGAAGAAAAAAGTGCGCACGCCTTGCAAAGCTGGACGAGCACAGGTGTCAGGGATAGAGGGTGGGGAAGAGGACGTTCTCGCGTTGGAGGAAACTGTCCCCACCCCCATCCCTGGCCCGGCCCTCATCCATGCTTCTGTCCCTAGGCTGCCCTCTCACACGTGCAGCCGATTTTTAAATAGGGTGGAAGACTCCTCTTGCTGCCTAAACAATCCCTCCACCTCTTCTTCTCCCCAGAAGGGTCACACGTTTCCCAAGCTATTTTGAGCTGCTCTGCACCTACTTGCCTGCAGTATTTGTCATAACAGGAAGCCGGTTTCGTATACTGTAATCCTCCAGCACACGTTGCTCCTGCACGTGTAGCGCTGAGCGGGCCAGAGAGCCTGGAGGCTGAGGGCTGAGCTCTGAGCCGTCCCAGGGTCGATGTCCTCCCTTGCTGGGCCAGACAGTCACAAGTCCAAAAGTCCGCATCCAGAAGGTCTTGTTTTCCTTTCTCATGCAGTTGGTGGTGATTTGTTTTTTCCTTCTTCTTTCTTCCTTTTTCTTTTTTTCTTTTTTTTTTTTTTAATAAAGCATTTGAGTAGGCAGCAAAGCCAGTGAGAAGTGTTTATTTATAGCGGTGGATTTTCAATGCTGTATAAATTAGAAATCATTGCTGAATGAGGCCCGCGCCCACTCACACAGGCAGGGCCGCTATCTGGGAGTCCTTTCACACAGTTTGACTGTACACAGTCTAAAATGGGAGAAAATGACATGCTCCGAGTCAAATGATGGAGTCACAGCTAAATGGCAAGGCAGAAAACCAGCAATTATTTTTCCTTGGCACAATATGGGAGTACGGCAGGTGCAATTATCCAATATTATTTAACAGCACCGGTTTGTGGTGTAGGGAGAAAATAAAGGTTTCCATGTCTCAGAGAGGGAGAAAAAAGAGAGGAGGGCGGGAGAACCTGCCTTCCACCAACTCCTGATTCCCTGGATTAAGCTGCGTTGTTTACATTGAAACTGACCAGGATTCCAGGATGGGAAAGGGCATTGCCTGCCTCCTTTGCCACCCTCCCCACAGGTTTACAAGCATCACCCTAAGGAGGGCACTGAGGAAAGGCCCCAGCCCAGGACCCTCCACTGGGGTGGAGGCTCCAAGCGACTGAGAAGAGGCTGGATTGGTTGCTCCTGTCCCTCCAGAGGACACCTCCTCCTGCCTCTGACTGTCTCCCCGAGCTGACCACAGTGACTTCAAAGAGAAGGTGGCTTTCATACCCTTCATGGTCTTCCCCTTTGGCCCATGGACCATTGTCCTCCTTATTCCCAAGCCTGGTCTTAAATCATTCTACCTGGGAAATCCTTTCTCTACCGGGTACTATTGATGGGCTGGGGGCGCAGTACACCCAAGGCCCTGGGTCTCCCCAGCAGAGCAAAAGGAAAAATGAACGAAAAGGAGCTGTGGCAGAATAAACAAGCTTTGTCCGTGGCTGCAGACCTCATCGGAAGGCCATTCCCCAGCTCTTCCGGAAAACTAAACTTCCTCACATTCCACATCAGTTCTATGCAGCATCCCGTCAATCTCTGAGCTCAGCTCTCCCATCTCTGATTCCTTCATGGCATGGAATCCTGAAAAGAGAATCCACTTCAGACCAGACTCCAGTTCCACTTCTGACTCCCAATTGCTGCTTCTGTACTGAGGCAGGGGAGAATAGCTTGCTTTGCTGAGCTTTGGTTCCTTGCTGTACAGATAAGATACACGATTAGATAAGATGATTTAAAGTGGCGAGTGAAAGTTCCTGACATCCAAGACTCCTCACCTTCATTGTAAACTCCTGAGGCTGAGGGCCATCTTTATTCCCAAAAGGACTTAATTCTGCACCAATAGAAAGTAGGAAAAATATCAACTGACTCGAGGAATATTTACAGCTCAACTTCATCACCCTAGGCTTCCCTGGAGGCTGAGCTCACCAACCTTAGAGATAATTGTTTCATTTCAGATACTCTGTCCATATTTAGTATCAAAATCCCTGTGACAGTGATGATCAGATCACAGTTGCAATGGCGAAGAACATGGTTAGAATGGGACATAGGATAGATTCGAAGATAAGGAGATGATGGGCGGGAGCATAGGGATTGCAGGCAGTTGGAGCTCTGAAATGGACCAGTTGGACATACCTGCTGAGTCCGAGTCATGCAGAGTGGCACTTCAATGAGAACAGGAAGAACTGAAGGCAGATGTTGTGTACCTCAGAATTTATTTTATGTTAGATGCTTGAACCCCGCTTCCTAAGGGCTGATGTGTGCTGTCAGTAAGGCCCATCCTCGACTTTATTACACCATCGTGGCTGGGACCTCATTAACCTCTCCTGTATTCGTCACTGTGATTTATCGAGGTGGGGACGATACCCAACATCCACAATTTAAAGGCAAAAAAGTGTAATTTAGTTCACGGCTTCAAGAGATTTAGTCCATGGTCAGCTGGCTCCAAGGCAAGAATATCATGGTAGAAGGGGCCGGTGGAGCAGAGAAGCTCAGTTATTGGCAGATGGGAAGTAACACAGTAATCATGGCAGAGAGGAACAAGCAAGAGACCCCATGTCCGCGACCCACCCAGACACACCCAGAAGTGGGCTTTACTAATCTGCTAGGCATTTCTCAATCCAGTGAAGCTGACCTGTTGAGATGAATGGTCGCATCCACTAATGCTATGATTCTTCACAAGCTACGGAAAGGGGCTCCACTCTTACTGCCACCCCAAATATCTTGTTTACATAAATAAAATCCTTTGCCAGGGATAAAAACCCCCATTTCACATGCAAAGAAACCATTTGAATACATAGCTACTTGCTATTGACTTACACTCACGCGCAGCTATCAATGAAGAAGGTCAAGAGGTTTGAAAATGTTTGAACACAGGAGGGGGCATCCTTCTCAGAGTGAAAATGGGGATGTTGTGAATAAAGGAACAGGTTCAGAAGGGGCAGCAACAGCCTCGCTCTGTAATTACCCACAGAGGGAGACACCCTGAGCTGGCTGAGTGTGTCTTGCCTCCCCACTCCTCACTGAAAGATATAATTGATGTTTACCCAAACTTTTATCTTATCAATTAGTCCCAGCAACTTGAAGTGCTG